GAAGCATCACTCTCCCTCACACATTTTCTCGAAGTTTCTCAGCATAGACGGGTGTCTACGTGATCTTGGCAGAGTGCTGGAAAATAACAGGAGCAACGTGTTCGAAATAAAGTAATAAGCTCTCAGTTTAGGGGACCAACTGTCTCCCAACAAGCATGTCGTAGGAGTCGACTAATTGGGAGTTTCCTCCGAAATCGGAGTGCAACAGCCCAAGCGGTAAGGAACAAACATCTGCACATACAAATGCCAGTAAGACGGATCACGCACAACTCAGACCCTGGCATAAAGCTAAAGTCCAAGTGGACGAACAACCAGGACTTTCCGTCGGAACTTACAGCCGGTGAAATAAGAAAAAGAAATAATCTACACGGAGTTTGAAGAAAGAAAGGGGGTTCAGGGAAGTAAGTGGTCAACTGCACCCATGAAGTCATACGTTTCATCCAGTAGAGTCTGATGTATAACGCCCGCCTTTGTTGCGCGTGTGTGTGAGTAATCCCGCGCGCGCGTGGGAATGTCGGTCGACAAATGATTTCTAGCTGCAACACCAATTCTGAAACGAGCAACGGTTTTAAAAAGCTCACCCGACCCCCCCCCCCCCCCAATCTTTAAAAAAAAATAGTAAGTAAATTACCCCTAGCTCGACATAACTTTTTTTGGTTGTTAAATGTAACATCCAGGATTTGTTCTGTTGGTTTGCCATTCAGAGATTTTTGCAAACCTTGAGTCGTCTAGCTTTCAGGTAGCAATGAGGATGAGAGATAACGGAATGAAGAGCAGGTGGCCTCTGCTGACCTAATAGGTGCTGTACAGAAGGGACTTTTACAGTGACAAAGCGATGATATATTCTTTGTTATCATCTTTTACCTCATCCCATAGTGGACGATATGCCCCCATAGGACGCAGGCCAAGCCAATTTAGACTTGACGTGTGATTAGGTTTTGCAAGTTTCGACGGGGCGTGGTAAGTTATTGCATAACTATACTTTCCTTCCATGGGCGCCGGAACTTAAGGAACCAGGCCCCTTGAGCCGGTTTGCCAAAGAAGAAACACATATTGCACACACATCCCTTTTTTCTGGGCTTGAAATGGGAAGCAGATCTGTAACACACTTCCCTTGTAAAAAGTAGTTTGTACCTGAACAGGAGACAAATCTCTTGTTTGTTTGTTTTAGTATCCAGAAGCCAAGAGTTGTTAACCCTTAGGCTCGGTATTATGGATATCGCAACCTTTCGGCCTTTATTCCATTGTAAATACCGTAAATCTAGGAGAAAATGTGGCTTTTCTGCCTACCCCAGAAAGTGAACTCGGACCACAAGAAGTTCGTCATCCGGTCACCGCGCAATCCGGTTTAGCCAACAACGCTAGAGAGCCGGGCAGACAAATCTCTTAACTAACTACAGAGTGAAAAATAAAAGCCCAGTTTCTGGTTCAGACGCCAGAGTATTCGACCAAAGAGTTCAAACTCTTTCTGAGGATCTACAAGCAGCCAACCAATTCTTGAATCAAGCATTTTTCTTATCAAATTCAATTATCCCCTTGTGGGATGCAATTTTTTGTTATTTTGAAGCCCCACCCTCGCTCTTGCCAGGGGCCGCAATATAGCCCGGCCATAAATATGGCCTAATGGCTGAACGCTGTTTCAGGGACCTCTCCACGGGTGATCCTCATTCACATGGTGAAACTTTGTGTCATAGGGTGTTTATCCCTTGTGTGATGTCCTAGTTGGGTAAAATGTACTACTACTACTAAGCATTTTTCTGAAACATTAAAAAACAAAAGATATTTCAAGACACAGCAAGAGTTTATTTTAAAATTGTTATTTACACTTTTTAATTGTATGAAAACATAATTTGCATAAACAATGGGACATTTTAAAAGCTGTACCTGAGAATATTTGTAAATAAAAGAGAAATAATGAACACCCCACAACTGAAACAAATATTTGGAGTACTTGACCACATATACACATACATACATTTGGATACTAGGTTGCTCTAACCCTAGTACAGAGCAGACCTGATAAGAGGAACTCACTAAGGACCCAAGAAATTGTTCTTCTTATCAGAAATCCCTCTTATCAAGTTAAGAATTCAAGCAGGGAAAATTGCTGGAAATTCACCACATCCGAGATCGCCCTCAGTGGTATGTACTGCATAATTGTTATACAGTTGAAGAGGCATCGTTAGATTTGCTGGTGTTAGATTTTCACCTGAGGCTTGTGTTGGTCCCTGTGTGAATTCTGAGGCCCCATTGTGGGGAAAATAAGAATAAACCCACTGCCTGCCCAAAAGCTTACTGTAAGACTAATTGGGGGCTTTCTTCGAGGTCGGAGTGCATCTTCTGGGAGGCAAGGAACCAACAATCTGCTTACATTTACAAATAAGTCCTATCTGTAAAACGGATGTGCATGCAACACTCAGGTATGGAATAAGACTAAAGTCCAGTAACGGACGAACAACAAGAACTAGAGTTTACAGCAGATAAATGTGAAGAAGAAGACAGAAGGGAGCTTGTATTGGATTTGACCTGATTAGTGGCTCTTCACTTGTTGGTTAATCTTTCATGCTGCAATCTTGGAGGGGTCAATTTGAAAACAAAAAGAAAAACATTATTTAGGACTGGCACATAGAAATCCATGGATACACATATATACAAGCACACACACAAGTAAATTTCTTAACTCAATAATTTAATTGAGTATTTAGCAGCATAATCTTGCTTTGAGCTTTTTAGAATTTGATTACACAATAATTATGATAAACTTGATAATTGCATTGTAAAAAATTAGTATATAAGTAACAATAAATATTTCTAATAAAATAACAATGTATGGAAACAATTTAGTAATTCATGTTAAAATGACCATGATATGTTTCAATAAATAGCCAGATTTCCTCTTTACACTCAGATCAAACATGAAAAATGCATTCATTGGCATAGCATAAAGTGAAAATCACACATACTGCGTTACTTGTGAATAATAACAATTAGTTTTCTTTCTTTATTGATTTCGTTCTTTCTTTCTTTATTGATTTCTTTCTTTCTTTATTGATTTCTTTCTTTTCTTTATTTCTTTCTTTATTTCTTGTTTGTCTTTATTTTTCTAGAAAGTATGTTTAATTTACCTAATTCTGGCAGTCCCAAGACACGTCTGATGTATTAATGAATCTGCCCATTGATCCCTAAAAAAAAAAAAAATAATGTGCTCTCTTGCATTTTTATATTTGGTCAGAATATATTAAGAACACCTGTTTTCCACAAATGGTCACTACTGAACTGTGTACTGCCACTTTAATAGCAACATTTGCATGGTTTTGCCTCACTTTGCTATCTATTGAGAAACCTCATACTGAACAAGTTAACTATATTCAATATTTACTTATATTTACAGCAAATGTAAAAAAAAAAAAAGTAACGTTTTCATTGTATTAGAATATATTTAACAAGATCGATCATTTACAGCAAAGGTTGATGCAAAATGGAAAAAATCATTTAAATAATTACACTCATGTAGTGACATATTATTACATATCCCATTTAATTTTTACAGCAAAACTGATATGTAATAAATTTGTCCTCCAGGTTAACTCAGGGTGTGCCAAATAAAGATTTGACTGAGTCAGTCAGCACCTAGAAGTATAATTTTACACTTCTTTAAAATGCAATGTTTTACGTGCCTTACCAAAAAAAAAAATATGAAAGCTGTTGCATAGACATTAAAAACAGTAATTTACAAAATATTATTATTCCAATCTTTAAAGTATATTTCATTTATGACATAAAAAAACATTTTTGAACATTATACTGTAGTGCACAAACATTGGAAACAAAAATATACAAAAGTCTAAAGCAAAGATCTGCACAGAAAAATTGTATAAGTCTGATTTGAACGTGTGCCCTAAAACAAGTTATTATATTTTGAACATAAACAAAAGTCTGTCCCTTCACCAACATGTTCTTTGCCATTGATGTCTGAGGTAAGACTACTAAACATTAGTGAGTTTGAATTTTTTGGGATGGATTATCTTGATATATCTGAAATAACACAGCTGAGAATTAGATTATTTGACTCTTAGATGGACTATCTTGATATATCTAAAGTAACACAATTGAGAATTAGATTATTTGACTCTTAGATGGACTATCTTGATATATCTAAAGTAACACAATTGAGAATTAGATTATTTGACTCTTAGATGGACTATCTTGATATATCTAAAGTAACACAATTGAGAATTAGATTATTTGACTCTTAGATGGACTATCTTGATATATCTAAAGTAACACAATTGAGAATTAGATTATTTGACTCTTAGATGGACTATCTTGATATATCTAAAGTAACACAATTGAGAATTAGATTATTTGACTCTTAGATGGACTATCTTGAAATATCTAAAGTAACACAATTGAGAATTAGATTATTTGATTTTTTGACAGACTGTCTTGACATTTTTGTAGTGACATTCATGCTTGACTCTAGGACAGACTATCTTGGCATCTCTGTAGTGACATTCATGCTTGACTCTAGGACAGACTATCTTGGCATCTCTGTAGTGACATTCATGCTTGACTCTAGGAGAGACTATCTTGACATCTCTGTAGTGACATTCATGCTTGACTCTAGGACAGACTATCTTGACATCTCTGTAGTGAGATTCATGCTTGACTCTAGGACAGACTATCTTGACATCTCTGTAGTGACATTCATGCTTGACTCTGGGACAGACTGTCTTGACATCTCTGTAGTGACATTCATGCTTGACTCTAGGACAGACTATCTTGACATCTCTGTAGTGACATTCATGCTTGACTCTAGGACAGACTATCTTGGCATCTCTGTAGTGACATTCATGCTTGACTCTAGGACAGACTATCTTAACATCTCTGTAGTGACATTCATGCTTGACTCTAGGACATACTATTTTGACATCTCTGTAGTGACATTCATGCTTGACTCTAGGACAATCTTGACATTTTAGATATGACACTGCTAAGAATTAGTGTGTCTGGTTCTTCTTGGATGGACTCTCTCTTCTATTGACGATATCAGATGGAATCATGTAATTAAGATGATGTTTCTCAAAATGAATTTTCAAAAAGAAGCTCTCTGTAAAATTTTTGCAACATATTTTACACTGATATGGATGTTTGCTCTTCTTGTCTACAAGAGCATCATTACCTGAAGGTAACTGGTTCTCTTCTGTGTGGTTTCGTGCAGCTGCAGGTATTTCTTTTTTTCTCCTTGATTCACTGACTGCACAAGTCCCATCTGCTATCAGTAATTCTTCATTGTTTGGAAGACTTTTGGAAGTATCCAAGGCACTGTCTACTCCTTGAGATGCTGTAACTTTTGGAACCCGTCTTTTTTCTTTTCTTTCACTGATTTCATTAAAGTCTTTGGAGTGTGACGATCCTGGTTTTTGGAACTCTTTAACTTGTTTCTCTACTTGAGGATTGTTGCTGCTGTTAGCTACATCAATACTGTCGATTGTAGAAGTCTTTATGCGTAGCATCTGACCACTGTCATGATTCAAAGAGTATCTGCCTTCAGTGAAAGTGTCATTATCACCATTTTGTACGGAAGCAGAAAGAACCCGTCCTTGTGTAACCCATTGGTTATTTGTTTCTGATTCATCTGATTCTGCTCCTTGAACTGTGGCTTTGTCATTGCTGGATCTTTCCGAATCAATCTCTTGATCAGCATCATTATCTAACTTCTTGCTGAGGTCATATGGTACATCATCAGAGCAGTGATCCTCAACGTTTGCTGACTGATTATGTTCCAGTTTAATTCTCTTTCTCAAAGATGCTAGAAAATCAACAGGATCTGACTTGCCACTGACACTGTTTTGTGCATTCAGAATGGTAGGAATTTGCAGATGCATAGACGGAGCATCAGCCATGGAAAACGTTAAGTTTGCTGAAGAACTGGAAGCAGCAAGTGGGACTAATCCATTAATTTCAGACAAGTCATTTTCTGCATGGTCAAGTTCACTGGCTTGGTTTTGTGACATGTGCAATTTTGGGTTTAGATTGGCACTGTGCCGATTTCGGCTTCTTCTTGAACTGAACATCATTTGACAACCTTCTACAGTGCATTTGTGCATCTCTTTCAAGTGAACAGCACTGTAGTGGATCTTGAGCGCACCCTTGTCACAAAATGTTTTATTGCAGGCAGTGCATAATGCTCTTTTCTTTCCATTTGATCCCATAAATGTGTTATCAAAATTTCTAGACTCTCTCCATTCCCTTCTACATGGGTTTTCTGACTTCCGTACATGTCTTTCCATTCCTTTTTCAGCAAGAGAATTGGAAATTTGGCTCTTGGAATAGTCCCTTACATCTCCATCATCTGACCCTGAAACTTGAGAATCACTGCCATCTTTCCCATCTGACCCTTGATCCTGGTGTTTTTGATGAATTTGTAAAGACTGATGAGATGATGATGATGAGGCATTGCTCAGATCCTGTGGACTCTCGCAGCTGGGTATTCTGCTGCCATCAAATCCCTTATGATTGGGTTTTACCGCAGACTGTTCAAGCAAATCAGAATGCTTCAAGACATTCAGACGGTGAAGTGGAGATATGTTCACAGGTGTACTTGATGCAACTGGTGCCTGCAGCATAGACATAAAATGCGGTTCGCCAGTGGGACTACACATCTGAGGCATAACAGGAGCTGGTATCATTCTACTCGCTGACTGAACAAACTGGAACGGATTCGTAACAAAACACTTTGCTGCATAATCATAAGGCACGGTGTAATTCTGTTCTGGCTGATTACTATGCTCAAGGAATGTTTTGATACTAGATCCAGCTTTCTGTGTTTGTTTGAGAATTTCATGGTTGCTCTTCATGTCTTGTAGTATGATTTCTTGTGCTATTGCCTTAGTTTCTCCAAAGCGCAAGAACTGTTGTAGCACAACTAGTTCTTCCTCATGAGTGGTCATATACCAGTTGTCGAGAACATGGCCCATCTTGTCCTGCATAGCAAGATGAAACAAAAATTATTAAACTATTTACTAGTATAAGGAAATTTTGGTAGCACTCATTACATCAAAATTATTTTGTAAACAACAGACAGTGGATAAAGGAAAGGAGACCATGAAAAATTAACTGTATCATTAAACAGTGTCTAGAAATGATAACCTGGATATTGGCAGACAGAGAACACAAAAGTGATTAGAACTTGAAGTTGGATTTAAAATGTTGGCATGAGATGGAAGTTGTGGACTAAGATAGAAGTTGTAATCTGGGATAATGATTTGAGTTAGAATTTGTCTATGGTGTTCCCATTGTTATCCAAATTGTCCTCTGAAATGGTGGCGTGAAAATCAAAGTTGTGGTCTGAGTAAACATGAGATCAAAGCTGTGGTCTGAGTAAGCATGAGATCAAAGCTGTGGTCTGAGTAAACATGAGATCAAAGCTGTGGTCTGAATAAACTTGAGATCAAAGCTGTGGTCTGAGTAAACATAAGATTAAAGTTGTGGTCTGAGTAAACATGAGATCAAAGCTGTGGTCTGAGTAAACATGAGATCAAAGCTGTGGTCTGAGTAAAAATTAGATCAAAGTTGTGGTCTGAGTAAACATGAGATCAAAGCTGTGGTCTGAGTAAACATGAGATTAAAGTTGTGGTCTGAGTAAACATGAGATCAAAGCTGTGGTCTGAATAAACTTGAGATCAAAGCTGTGGTCTGAGTAAACATGAGATTAAAGTTGTGGTCTGAGTAAACATGAGATCAAAGCTGTGGTCTGAGTAAACATGCGATTAAAGTTGTGGTCTGAGTAAACATGAGATCAAAGCTGTGGTCTGAGTAAACATGAGATTAAAGTTGTGGTCTGAGTAAACATGAGATCAAAGCTGTGGTCTGAATAAACTTGAGATCAAAGCTGTGGTCTGAGTAAACATGAGATTAAAGTTGTGGTCTGAGTAAACATGAGATCAAAGCTGTGGTCTGAGTAAACATGAGATCAAAGTTGTGGTTCTGAGTAAAAATGAGATCAAAGCTGTGGTCTGAGTAAAAATGAGATCAAAGTTGTGGTCTGAATAAACATGAGATCAAAGTTGTGGTTCTGAGTAAAAAATGAGATCAAAGCTGTGGTCTGAGTAAACATGAGATCAAAGCTGTGGTCCGAGTAAAAATGAGATCAAAGCTGTGGTCCGAGTAAACATGAGATCAAAGCTGTGGTCTGAGTAAACATGAGATCAGAGCTGTGGTCTGAAATGGTGGCATATTTTTTTTATTAAAGAAATTTAAAAAAAAACAAAAAACATGTGCTGTCTTATTTCTTTACTAAACTAACATGAGCTGCCAAGTGAATGATGTCAACCAGCAAAAGGCAAGGAAAGTATCCCTCACTTACTTTGCTTTAAAGGGTAAAGCCGAGATAGTCAGCTCCATTGTAACTGGTATTATATCATATGGCTCGTCGCTCTCTCTAAAGAACTACCAGCCGCCTATCTAGAGTGTCTCACAAAGATTAAACTCCATAGCTCCAGTGACAATCTCAAGGGATCTCCATAAAAGTTGCATTCGTGAACCAAACAGTATGCAATGGAATGAATCTATGATCTTCACAGTGTGAGGGAAACGGCTTGCCAACTTTGTTACGTAGACCTCCATCTTCTTCTTCTTCCTAAGTTCCTCTCTTACCACTTCGAGTGTCGAGAGAGATATAAAGTTTAGCTTCTTGCTCTTCTGACAACCTCGACCATAGACACATTGTGTGGTTGAGTTTCCTGATATTGTTTTTCCATTTTGTTCTTGGCTACCCCATGATGTACTCTTGTACGTTTTTTGGTGTATGCCTTGCAAGGTATCCCCCTGACCTATTCTAATCTAGGGTTACTCACCTGCAGTATGTAACCTCTAGCATAATCCTCGTAAGTCCAACCAAATCCATGCAGAATCTGCAGTATCTCTTGATGCTGAAGCTCTGCAAACAGCCGGTCCAGCAAGATCTTCAGACGGACTGGTGTAGCTTGAGCCCCATATAACATCAAACTGGCAATATCAAAGACTATATTGGGCTGGACCATCTCCATTTGCAGGCCAAAGTTTGCCCCGAGCTTGTCCAGGGCTGTGGAGAAGTACAACAGGTTGTTAGTGGCATAGTGATCACCCCACAACTGCTTCTTTACTGTGCTAACAAAGTTTACACCTGATGGCTGTCAACGACACCTTGTTGAAAAAATGGACTAGCTTCATTGCATCACATAAGTAAAGGAAATGGTGGCCGCTTTGATTATAATATTCTTCATGGTCTGAATATAGAGGGTAGTCACTCTAAAACAATATCCTTTAAAGGAAACAGATACTTTTACCGTTTAAATGACATAGCAGTTGGGGGGGGGGGGGAACAGTAATTTCAGGGTATGGTTTCCAGAAGTACAGGCAGGGGTCGAACAGTATGTCGGTGGACATATGATGCTAAGGACAACCTGAGCATGAAAGTCCACAAGGTGGAAAAGTTGGCAGCAGAACGAGTTTTTTTCTGCGTACAATAGTGAGAGTGGCTTTATAAACTGAAGTACATTAAATAGCACTACTTTAATATATAATGTGCAGAGAAGGTGGAACATAAGTGTGGGAATGAATTTTTACAGTGGACATCCCAGATACTTAGGATAGCGTGAGTGCATTTTGTTGTTGTAGTTGCATATTTTCAAAGATTCCAAATATGTAAACTTGTTGTGTTCCTGGATTATACAGGTTGTGTGTTTTTAATGAGCTTCAGCATATGCAGAAGATATAACACGAAGATAAATCTACGCATACTTCTGGCTAAATACTCGTGCAGCAAATAAACTGAACTGACTTTCTACCCCACCAGGAAATCACACAAGCGATAAACACCCGATGACACAATGTGCCACCATGTGGATGAGGATCACCCGTGGATGAGGATCACCCGTTGAGAGGTTCAAGAAACCGCGTTCCGTCATTAGTCATTAGACCATATTTATGGCCGGGCTATATTGCAGCCCCACGGCAAGAGACAGGATAGGGCTTTGAAATAATGAAAATTGCACCCCATGACTAAGGTTGAATAGTTATGTGCAGCGAGTGATAACAGGACATATGTAACCATGACATAAGAACATCTGGGTATTGGTTGTTAAAAACAACATTTGATTTCACCAGTATTTTAAGGGAACTGTCAGTATCTAGATCTTACAATTGCTGCGAAAGATTGTATCTATGAGAGTATCGGGCTATGATGTCGATTCTCAAAATAAAATAAAATATGCAGCGTGAAGAAACGGTTAATGTTACCAGACTTCAACTAAGCAGTCAACCTGGGATCATCAATTCACACCAGTGGACAAGTTTCAAGGGGCGGTAATTGTATCTGGGCGCTGATTAACGTGGAGGATAGACCATTCACCTTGTCAGCGGCATGGAATTAATTACATCAACGGCGAGTGGAGAAGGAGAAGAAGAAGAACGTTGAGTTGAGCATAGGTTATCTACGCTAATGGCGTTCTGCCCAGTCGGCGAGGGTTTTATTGTGAGGTTTTATTGTGACTACAGGGTTCAACACTGTTCAAAGGATAAATTTGTTGTCTGAATTCGCTGAAGAAGTAGAGAGAGAGAGAGAGAGAGAGAGAGAGAGAGAGAGAGAGAGAGAGAGAGAGAGAGAGAGAGAGAGAGAGAGAGAGTTTTTCTTTTCAAAGGCCAATAAATGGTTTCTATCTGCACGGTCATAACTAAATTAAATGACCCTCATAGAAAGACAATGACATCTCATTCACTTGCTAGGGTCGTTAAATTGGTCCAGAAGTCATCCCTTTGTGGGTTGCAATTTTTCGTTATTTGAAGCCCCACCCCGGCTTTTGCTGGGGCCCTGAATAAAGATGGGCCACAAATGTGGCCATAACGTCTGAAAGGGGTTTCTGGAACCTCTCCACGGGTGTTCCTCATCCGCATGCTGGCACTTTGTGTCACCGGGTGTTTATCGCTTGTGTGATGTCCTGATGGGGTACAGCTAGAGAGAGAGAGAGAGAGAGAGAGAGAGAGAGAGAGAGAGAGAGAGAGAGAGAGAGAGAGAGAGAGAGAGAGATTAGTCCAGGATTCTTGGGTACCTCCTGTTCTGGTAGTAATTTGACCTCCGGTCATGTCAAACGATGGCTACTGATTCGACTTTCTATCGGTCTGTTTGTTGGCACCTTTCTGTCTTTCCAGTTGATAATGTTACACTGTACTATAGAGAAGCATGGGAATCACAAGCTACGACCACGGCGAATGTGACTAATACGAATGGCCCTGGTTAAGAAAAGTATCTCCCAATTAGAACATGCAATTTAAGGACAATTCAGTCACTGCTTTTATCAGCAATCGCATCTATTATAAGTTATGTCAAGAACTGATCTCACAGCACTCGGGGCATTCCCATGCGTGCTCCGTCCTCATGCAACTATTACAAATACACACAAAGCTCTCTAGTACAAAGAGATTAGGAAATCTGGCGGACGTGTGCTGCAAAGTATCTCCATAAAAATGCCAACTAAAGATGATAAAGCCTTTTTAAAGCAAGAGGAACTAAACTACACAATACCCCCCCCCCCCCACAGAGAGAGGCTAATCATCCACTGGAAGCGTAACACAAAGCACGAGCTTCGTGGTTTTAACCACGCCCCTCTGAAATATACGTAAAACTTGCACGCCCAAAGAGAACGACGGAGTGTGAAACTGAAACAGCGACCTTCAGCTTGCAGGGCTATGTCTTCATCATGGAGCCATTCGAAATTTGAAGTCCAGTAAACACGTGTTTAGACATGTCAAACACGGAGTTAGGGACACGAGGAGGTGTTTGGGGGGGGGGGGGGAGAGCGAGGGGTGTAGGTAATCTTCTAAATCGACAACATAAATGGCCTCTATTCTGCACAATAGAAGCTTCCAGTTCTATGCATACTCCCCTTTAAAAAAAAAATCCTGCAGGTAACATGTCTGGTCGTCTCTGCAGAAATTATTCTTCTACTTTTTTTGTTCGCGTTCAACGGCTATTGCTTCAGTGGAAAATTATGAGTGTTTTCCACCTCCAGACTTGAGTCTTGTTGAAGAATACCGAATGTTGTGTGCACATTCGTTTCACACATCTGGCTTATTTGTATTCAGACTCTTGGCTTGTCGCCTCTCAGGCAGATGTACTCCGACTTGGAAGGATGACCCCATTTATGTCTACTCCTAAGGCATGCTTGCTAGAGAGGCAGTGGGTCTCTTCTTGTTTCCCCCCACAAAAGGGCTTGGAACCCACACGGGGAGTAAATTAAATAAAAAAAATAATAACTAAACTTAAAAAAAAAATCTTGTTAAAAACAACAACGCTGGACTACGTCTGTGCAATAAACCTAAAGCGTTGAAATACCACTCTCTTAACCTTTTTTTTTTTTTGACAGGGTGACCATGCGCCCCTCTCTTTTTCGCTTAAAAACCTGCAAAAAGGTTCTTTTTATTATTTTAAAAAAACCCACTATGAATGAACCTGAGGAAAGAGTATAAACATCTGTAGACCTTACTAGATATAATATTTTTAGATACTTTTAATGTCTGAAATGTGTTGATGGGATTTGTTTTCACAGTGCACTTAGCATATTATTTCGTTAATTTCTTGACAACAGTGGTTCGGGTTTTAATATCACTGTCGAACGAGTAACTAACCCTTTCACCCCGGTTACCTAGTATAATGAGTTAAACTGTCTTGCTTGCGATGTCCCGTTTTTTAGCTCTGGCTTCAGCTCAAGATATTATAGTCACCTTACCAACTGATGACAAGGCGAAAAGACCAGTATCCGTATTATAACATGGAATCAGACGAGTTTAGTGCTATAAAATACCATTATCTTATTCAAGTAACGTGTCTTACAATGTGATTTACACTTCTGCGAACACAAGCTGTTTGGATATTTCTGGGAAAACAATCAAGCCACAGTTTTGAGATAACGAAGGGGGTAACATGAGAGGAGTACTATTCCACTGAGGCCTTGTATTGTACCGACAAGAATGCTAGCTGGGACGGTCAAGTTTCACGTGCTAGAGGTATCTATCTCATTGTTTCCTTGGCAACAAAAATAGTAATAATTATTTGTATAGGTGTTATTTTATTTAGTATTCGCCACCTTCCCCAACTTTTTTTTTCGGAAACAGAAACGGGTGTTGAAATTGGTGGCAACCACTTAAAGCTGTCTGTATGACTATTATATTTACAGAGTCTGCTAAACACAACTAACTGCCAAGCCACATGCAAAGAAAATCCTAGATTAGGGAATACAATCTTTGTGAACAGACATCTTAGAATACGTAAAAACGTGCTGCAGACATGATTTCTGCATACCATATTATACAAATACCCTGATTAGCACTCGTAGAAAGAAGTAGAAAGATAAGAGGACACACTTGAAACAAAGTCAGTTGCGTATCCTTTACAGAATGTTGCAGAACAAATACCAGCATTTTTTTTTTGCTGTTGTGGATTTTCTAAGCAAATTTTACGTTCAGTAGTTTTCCACTGCTTTTGAAGCGTCAGCTCTCGGTACAACTGTCGGAAGCAACGCAAGACAAATCGTCTGCAACTGGGATCGAAACCGGCACCCCAGCATTATGAAGCTCGTTCGCAACGCCTAAGCCACTTGCGCCGACAGGACACACTAGCCAACATACAATGGTAACTATTGCTTTCGATTTTTATGTTGTCTAGCGTGTTCTCTCATCTCTCTACTTCTTTCTGTGAGTGCCCATGTATTTATTATATCTGCGGTATCAGGGTTCACCGTCTATTTGTTTCTGTGCATCTCTACATGCTGCAGACAGATCCCAGGTTTGATCAGCTGTCATTCCGATGGGAACGAAACTATGTATCAGTGGAGAGCATGTACAGCAACGTAGCCTTCATAGAGGCATGTGATCTTCCCTTCTGAAAAACCACCGACAGAGAGAACGAAAAGAAAAAGACTGTATTTAGTGCTTTTGGGGATGGCGTAGGACAGGCAAATCTTTTGAAACTTGAGGATATAGTTATACGAATTGAGTTGATTCAAGAACCGACATCACAGCACTCGGGGCAATCCCATAAGCGCTCCGTCACCATCTTCAGCAGCCAGTGAAGAGTTCCGATATTAATGGTGCCAGTAGAATTCTGATATACGTCCGTCTTGACTTTCCTCTGAGCCTCGAGCATCTGCCAGAACCTCTAGTCACTCCCCGCTGCATCAATCTCACCAGACTGTGGTGATCCATCTACTCATCCGAACTGCACACGCTCTGTCACAAGGCACTAACCATGTCTGCCTTATCATGCATCATTATTCCACCAAGTTGTGCAAAGCCAGCCAGTATGTCCGTCTGTTCATTTCCCAATACACCGGTGTGTCCCCGTGAGAAAACCCAGACAATACTCCTCACCCGTGTCTTCCGCAGTTAAGCATGCTTTTCTGCACGAAGCATGAGTTATATAATATAGCATACGAGCAATATAATCAGGTGTCATCTCCACATTGACGCTGGGCCACCGTGAGTCGACAACATTCTGTGTCTTTCGTCTTGGTTGTACACTCACACTGCTGCTCGTCCATCTCTTTTCCTCCCACTTATACTACCGTGGGCGTATTGCTTTTTTGTCTTTGTTGTTTTCTACCTTCTTTTTCTTATTGCTTTTTTGTCTTTGTTGTTTGCTACCTTCTTTTTCTTCTATCTTGTACCTCACTGAAGTGTTGGGAGGATATGTAACGTTCGTTGATGACGTTTGCTACCACTTTTTCTCAAAGAACGTTACATTTCAAAACATTTCACCTGTCTCTGTGTTTGACAGTTGTTGCCGTTTTTGATGTCCGTGAGATACCAACCAGTCTCGTGTATAGCCACATCTCCAAGAGACTCACTTCTTACTGACAATCATTGTCCAGGTTTCTGCACCGTACGGAAGGGTAGAGTATAAAAATATTTAATAATTCTTATTTTCAATTTGTTCTTTTTCTCTCTAGCTGTCAATAATGTTCGCCCATTGTTGAAGCTCATTCGTTCATTCCTGTTCTTTGTAATTTTTATTCAATTCTAGCCATCATCTGTTTCCCCAGATAGGCTACATTTGTTGCTTGTTCTATTATCTCTTTGTTTACTGTAATATGCGCGGTTGACCACTCTTTTTCATGTTTAATTGTCATATTATTTTGGGAATATTTTGTCTAAATTAACGCAGTATCTTTTACTTCCATCAGATTTTGTAAATACGAATAATAAGAACAGTGTTATATTTATAAATTGTAGGAAAAATATGTGTACGATTCGATTATGTTTACAGCACAATTATTCAGTCGTCATTATAAAGTTAGTGGGCCGGGTTCAACAACCAGCAGTTGTGAAACATAAATTTCCTTCTGGTATGTCTCTAGGAACAATACCAAATCTTTTATAATATGGTGATTGCCGTGATTACACTAGGAGTCTAGTTCCACTAGAAGATGAAAGACAGAAAGATGATTAAAAAGAAAAAAAAAACTCTGAAGGAGAAGAAGAAGAAGAGAAAGTTAAAAAAGATGAAAAATATGAATAAGAAGAAGAAGAAGAAGTAGAAGTAGAAGGAGAAGAAGAAGAAGGAGAAGAAGGAGAAGAAGAAGAAGAAGAAGAAGAAGAAGAAGAAGAAGAAGAAGAAGAAGAAGAAATAGAAGAAGAAGAAGAAGAAGAAGAAAAGAAGAAGAAGAAAAAGAAGAAGAAGAAGAAGAAGAAGAAGAAGAAGAAAACACTAACAAGTTACAACATCAATCTTACCGTGAGCCACCCATCCATGGTTACAAGTTTCACAGAAGCGCAGACTTTGCCGCCCAGGAGCGAAGCACTCACATGGACATCTAGGATATGTGCATCGTATCGCCTACAGAAGGAATAAACCAAGCAATGTAAGGTCAGGACAAGCGACTACAGGCATTTCATTTTCTTCCGGTTCACCGGCTATAAACTCCGGCGGAAATTGCTGGTTGTTTCATCCACTTCTGGACTTTAGTCTTTAGTCACATAAAACTCCCCGTGTGGGTTCTGGGGTCCCATTTTTGGGAAAACAACAATAGACCCACTGCCTCCATAACAAACATGTCCAATGAGTCCACTAATTAGGAACTTTCTTCGAAGTCGAAGTGCATCTGCCCGAGTGGCAAGAAACAACTAACTGCAGAAAAATAAGCCAGTAAAACAGACGTTCAAGCAAAACACAGGCTCTGACAAAGAAGATGTGAACAAGGAAGAAGGCAGTTGCAGAGAACTAGACAATCCTCGATCAGTGAAAACTGTAAACTGATTAGAGAAATTTGACACTGACAGTTTGTTTTGTGTCAAACACCTTATGAGAAGGAATGCACTTCAGCTCTTGAAGGAATGCACTTCAGCTCTTGAAGGAATGCACTTCAGCTCTTGAAGGAATGCACTTCAGCTCTTGAAGGAATGCACTTCAGCTCTTGAAGGAATGCACTTTAGCTTTTGAAGTCCTAGGACAAATCTCCAACAAAGACCACAGTCAGCACGGAGAGCTGTTTCATTTTATATACTCAGAAATCGGCATCGTTCAAATATTTGGACACGTATTTGTATAGACAGATGGTTTTAGTGGGGGTGGGGGGGGGGAGGAAGGAGGAGCCACAAACAACAGGATACAAATATAACGTTGTACACACTGACTGTAACCAGAGACACACTCAGTATTGGCATGGGAAGCTTGCACCAACTTCAGAGAAAAGCAGGAAGGAAGTAATCCTGCTTTGAATTGTGAGAAACATGGGAATGCTGTCCACAAGAACAAAAATAGTCCAGCAGTTAATCTAACCCTACTATTGTGGATCCCTATAAATAGAAAGGCAGAGCTGATAAAAGCTATAGGAAACCTTATGCAGTCCCAACTGTCAACGAGCTTTAAAACGCCAAAGACACCCTTCAAACAATGTAAAGTAACTGGAAAGAAGACTATTCAAAATACGGCTCTCCTTTGAATAATGGTCCCAAAGGATCGACGCAGAAAGTTTACTCTAACAGAGCCTCACTCATATCTAAAATTCGCATTTCTTTTGCGGCGAATCTACCGCGTCAAAAGTAGGATTAATTGCGCACGACATTTCCGCGAAAAGCAACGGACTTTTTAACGACGATTAAACGGCGGCAAAACTAGGATTAACTACGGACAAAAAATTTTGTGGACACGCAAGAATACTCCCGATAGCGCAATCCTACGGCAGGGCCACAGTTATATGTAAGTTGCGGACCACTTTTCGCCGACTATAGTGCCACCTCCGAGAGTATCCCCGCGCCGCTACGCGCGGCGCGGAAGGGGCAAAACTAGATGACTGGGACTCACGAGCAGCAGCTACCGCTTCTCCTGCAGCTTCCTCCATTGTTTTTGCTCGTGAGTCCTAGCCATCAAGTTTAGCCCCTTCCACTACGAGCGGCGCGGGGATACTCTCGGATGTGGCACTATAGTCGCAGGAAAACAGTCATGAGCTACTTCTTCCGTCGCAACTGCCAGCGTGGTCGCATTCGCCACGGTCAAGGGGCGGTCGGGATAGTGGAGCGCCATAGTGACGGCTGTTGGTTTGAAGTTGTCCCGAGGGTAAACAATCTGCGTAGGTCATTTGGGTCCGTTATTCAAAGGAGAGCCCAAAATACAGACCAGGCCATGCTGTAAGGAGAGGAAAGAAAAACGATACAATAATAATAATAATAATAAGTTGCATTATTTTATTCTTTTTGTTTGATTACAGAAGGTATATTTTAAGGTAAAGAACAGCCTCGAGAGCTTGAGGACAACTAGCAAGATTGATAGAAGAGAAAGGGGAAATGCACCGCGATAATTGCCTTGATTGCAGGCCATCATGCATGGGGCGGGTGAAGAGCAGCACCATACGGGGCGGGACAGGGGCACTACATGGGGTGGGATAAGAGCACCATATGGGGCGGGACAGGGGCACCACATGGGACGGGACAGGGGCACCACATGGGACGGGACAGGGGCACCATATGGGACGGGACAGGGGCACCACATGGGACGGGACAGGGGCACCACATGATCAGTGATTCTGCTGATAGTGTAGGATAGCGAATGATGACCGCATATACTTTTCGGCGTGGAACATGATGCTAATGATGATATATTTCTCGGGAGAGAGAGGCGCGTGGGCGATTTTCTCGGGGAGGTTGTGTCAAACAAGTTTAGGAAACACTGGACTAGACCTATTTATATTTCAAATCACCCCGACCGCCCTTACTTCCAAGGACTATGCCTCGTACCCACTAAAGGCTGGGTCGATCTGAAAGCAAAAATGTCATTTTTTTTTAGATCTCAAAAGTCAGTAGTACTAAATGTAAAGGAGCCGGGGGTAGATCAGTGGACAGCTCGCTTGCCTGAGAGTGCGGGATCATAAGTTCAGTTGCTCCTGACGGTCGATGTATTAAAATGTGACCTTACTCTCTAAGTCAACCAGGTCTAAAATTTGTGCCAAGAACTAACCCACAGAGTCTATAAACATGAATTTATAACAGGAAACTGATCCTTTCCTTGAGTATATCCACCTGATACCACTCTAGTAAGACAACGCCCTCCATACCTAAAACCTAAAAGAAATACCTGTAATCAAGGCCATGTGCTAGCTAGGACCTTCCGACCACATGGAAATTCTGTACCTACCCCTCTCCCAAATTCATAACTACCTTCTAACAGGCAACTAGCCTTATCTAGCCGACAGAGGAACTTAAAAGGCTCACATCGGTAACCCCGCACGTGCGATCCAGCCTCGGCTACTGTACACAAAGGCATGGCCAGGTCTGGCAACGCGCGTGCTTATCGGTTCAGGCGTTCACCGGTAGGCGTGTATTGTCAGCACAAGTTGAGCAAAGGGTCACCTGATAACACTGCCATTTGCTGCTCACCCTTTTCTTCTTAATGTTCAACGGTTGTAAACTCCGGCATAAAGTTCTGGTCGTTCGTTTACTTCTGGACTTTGGTCTGGTTCCAGAACTTGAGTTTTGCATGCACATTAGTTTTACAGATCTTGCTTATTTATATGCAGACTGTTGGTTCCTCGCCTCAGACAGATGCATTCCGACTTTGGAGAAAACTCCCATTTTTCGTCACTGTGTACGACACATTTGTTAGGCTATGCAGCTATTCTGCCCACGCCCCTTTTTTTCAATAATGAAGACCCCAGAACCCACAGTTATAACCTTTTTTAAAACGAGCGAATCTACGTAGGGTAGAGCTGTCCTAGCATAGTCTGGCGTAGGGGTAGAGCTGACCTAGCATAGTGTGGCGTAGGGGTAGAGCTGCCCCAACAAAGTGTGGCGTAGGGGTAGAGCTGCCCTAACAAAGTGTAGCGTAGGGGTAGAGCTGCCCTAACAAAGTGTAGCGTAGGGGGTGGGTGGGTGGATGCGGCTGCCTTGGATGTCATCACTGGGTGGGTGACAAGATGGCAGAAATATGTATTTTTAAAAATAAAAAAAATTTCCAGGCTAACGATACTTTTGTGGTTGTGGGAAACAAATAATATTTAAAACGAGTTTAATAACTCCTTCTGACAATTAATTGACTCAACAGGTTAACACCATACCCGTTAAAACTGTGTTAGTTTAGTCAAGAAACTCCGTAAAGCTCGATACTGAGTATAAATAAGGAAAAGGGAGAAGAGGACAATGAATATTGTCACATCTTCCAGTCGGGCATCAACATTTTGTGTTCTAGTGCATTCAAACGTTCGGGGAACGTGGGAGCAAACATTGAAGCAGTATCTCAGTGAAGTGGTAAGGATGAACTTGATTTTGAAGAAAACAGAGAGCTCTCTTTTTTTGAACAGCAATTTCGAAGGCGAATAACAAAACTGAAACCGATAACCAGAAAGGACAAGCTACTGAACTTATCAAAAAGCACAGAGAAAAGGGAGATGGTGAAATAGAAGAGCTTGTGTTATAGGAAGAGATATTATAATGAGATGACATCAGAAAGGAAACTTTGTTTTTTTTTTCTTCTTTGTTTATTGAACTGTAGGCTTTTAAGTTTTGAAAGTCCTGGTATTTTGTTCATCTGGGCTTTGCTTTGTGCCAGGGCCTGAATTTTGCACAAAAATATTTATGAAAATAAAACCTACTGGCATATTCCTGTTCTACAAAGTTTAAGAGTTGATTTAATTAAAATGGGTAGTGAAGCGAAACGGAACAAAGACGGTACGTTTGTTACAGTTACAAGACCAGGTGATAAAATAAAGGGTTCTATTCGCCACCTAACGTCTAAATGGTTCGATGTCCGTCAACTCAATGGTGAGACCTTGGCTGGCCTACTTTATAAACAGAGATGAAAATTTAAGAGATAATTTATCAAAGTTTATCACTAGTTTTCAGTCTTAAGGGAAACTTCATCGGAAAGTTCGGCTACGAAAAACTGTTAGCAATACTTAACTTGTTTTGAAAAATATAAAACATAACGAACACGTCTAAGTGCTAACAAAACGATTAATCAATTTAGCGTAACTGTTGCAGGAAAACCTATGCACAGTCCGTGGCGACAGCACTAGCCGTGCAGCCCTTAATTCTCAGACTCCCCTGCCCCCTTACACAGCCCAAAAAGCTGGTAAACAGACAGTGGTGGCAGTTTTTAGTTGCAGGAAAAAAAAAATAGATTTTTTGAAAATGACGTAACTCTACTTTTAGCTCATCAAAGTTTACCCTTTCATGACCACAGAGTCCACATGTTATCGGAAAACATGGCATTTTTTACAGTTAGTTGCTGGTATCGAACTATGATCCAGTACTGAGAGAACACTTGATCAAACTAAAGCAGTTACGTTAGTCACAAGGAGGCGACATACGAGATATCCCACACAAAACGAGTTTATCACGCTGCTAAACGAGAGTGTTTAGAAAAGATTTTGTTTGAAATTAAGAACAGTATTACATCACTATTTTTGGCAGTGCTTTATCATCGCAGATATTTATCAGATGTGTAAAATAGTTCACATTTAAAAAAAAAATGTAACTTCAATTATTTGAGTATGGAGGTAACAAATTAGGGAAATGGGGTGGGGGAGAGGTTGTTTTTCTTCTTCGCGTTCACCGCTGTACACTCTGGAGAAAGTTCTGGTTGTTCGTCCACTTCTGAACTGCAGTCCTGCTCCAGAACCTGAGTGTTGCGTGGACATCAGTTTTACAGATCTGATTCACTTGAATGCAGACTGTTGGTTCCTTGGCTCTCATGCACTCTGACTTCAAAGGAAGCTCCCCATTTAGTCGACTCTTACGACATGCTTTTGTGTAGGCAGTGAGTCTATTCTTGTTTTCCCCACAATGCGGTCCCATAAACCACACGGAAGGGGGGGGGGCTGATTATATACATCTTACGCTTTAAGTACCGCCTAGCAATGCGACACCACCGGGTTAAACTGGGAGACCGTATAAACATTATTGACAAAACAAGTGACAGTATGATGTGTACCGACGCCACAAGTTGTGTACATCTCGATACAGACTAGAGACAAACATGAAACATTGTGGTATAATGTTCACTACCAAGTCTCTATGTATCAGTTATTAAACAAATTGTGAAACCTCCGCTATATTATTCGGGGTAATTAGTTTACTTCAGGTCACTTATCATTCACATCTGATTTCCAGAAAATTAAAACTCTTAATGGTGGATATGTAACTTTTTCGAGTTTCCTATTGCGTAAAAATCTGAGCTGCGGATCAGACAGGCCCTTCTAAACCAACACTGAAAATACCTTTAAAAAAAATGAAAACTGGCCATAATTGTTTGATTATACAGCTAACAAGTCTCACGACAACGCCTCTTACGGCACGCACTATCGATTGCAGTGTTAAAATTCTTTGCTTGCTCTATGGATTCCCAGTACCATCACACACGAAAGACTCACTTTACCTTGAGAGACAAATATCCGTTTGATGAAAAATTATCAAATGGCATCAAAGATTTGATTTGGAAAACAAAGATTTTAATTTTTGGGTAACACTTACCTCAAGGGGTTTCATCTTTGGAATCAACGTTATCCACGTTCTCCGTCACAAACGACGGGTCTTCCCTCAAGGGTCAGACATGGGACAATCGGGCATGCACACATCCCATATTTAGAACACGTATACGTGGGCACGACCCATGCATGAACTAGTAGCGAGAAGTGAATGTCTACAGACCGGAAGCGAGACTAGTGAAGACGGTTCTGAAATCTCCAGGCGAGAAGTTGAAAGAGGGGAGGGGGGTCACTGGAAGGAATAGTCTGATTCTGTAGACTGGTCCGTGTCGCATCTTCCGACAGTGAGCCTGGTCTGTAAGCCACTAGACGAGGGGAAGTTTTCACACTAGAGTGCGATATGGAAGTACTTTGTGGAACGTAGCGAAGCAGTGGTTAAAAAAAAACAAAAGTTTTGCCTAAGTGGTTTAACAAACTATTTCTTATATTTACTAATGGAAATATACTGATAACGTTTCCCAAACGAGTAAAGCCATAAAGTCTTAGAAGTAACAGGCTGTGAATTCCGGCAATATATGCAACGAAGATCAGAGGCACAGGGAATAAGGGGACTTAATACCCTATTCCCCCCACGAAAATATTTTGGGAAGATAGTTAGGCAGCCCCCCCCCCCCCCTCCGAATTTACATAACGCCCCCCCCTCCCCCCAGCGTAAAGAAATTCTTTAAAAAAAAAACATCTGCCTTTATATTAGTACCATTACCACTACTACCTATATTTACCACTTCTGCAGTGTAGCCACTTGGTTTTAAAGACTTAGGGTTTGGGGATCGTATGACTGTTGTGTCGCCACGCACTGTGCAGGTTAGTATTTTATTTTTGCCCCTGCCGGAAACCAAATGTATATATATATATCTACACACACACAATATATATATATATATATATATATATATATATATATATATATATATATATATATATATATATATATATATATATATATATATATTTATATATATATACATATACACACAATATATATATATATATAAAATGTGTATTTGCATTCAGCACATCATTATCATTGATGCTGTTATTATAGCCGTAAGCATACTGAGCACCTCCCTCTCTTAAAAACATGTGTACGGTTGCTGACACCCCTTTGTACCGACAAGCCTAGTGGAAATATTCTGGTAAAGAAATGATGAGGAGGAAATCTTAACTGGAGGTAGGTAAATGACCCTCTTCATGCTAGTGACTCATGGACATATGATGTTAGACTCGTAATTATAAAGCAACTGGAACTCGATTGGCTTTGCGGTCAACATCATGCCCGCCTTTATTTCCTATAACATGCCCCATTGCATATTTAGATATGGTGCTTTAGTTTTTAAATCCGTGCGATTGGTCGTGTAATCTTTTTCTTCATCCGTAATTGTATAACCCAGTAGTTAGTTGCGATCAATAATGATTCATATTCTTTTTCCTCGTCTTGTTTTATAACCACCGGGCTGGTGGAATGGACTCATCGCCACTAGCAAGCATTTCGTAATAGGTTGACTAAGTTTTACTAAAATCGCGTTTTTGGTACCCAATGTATGAGCTAATGGCCAAGCTCCCTAATTAGGCACTCCTTCCCACAGCAACACGGGCAGAAGCCGGCACTAACCCTGCCGTAAATGAAGACCACATGTATCCTATCTTTACAGCAGACCACATGGAGGCGCGTTGTAAGAGGAATGGGTGAGACTGGGAGAAAGGGAAACACTGGTCTCGGAGCCTACCACAAGGAACCCTGGGGTAGGGCTGACATGTAAGGACATGGCTCACAAAGGATGGGTTGTTAGTGTTTTGATGTGGTGGCCTAAAACTAGTGTACTCAGAGAAACACCTCAGTCAAGGAGGGGGGGGGGGGTAATTTTTGTGGAGACAATAAGTGTAAAAGCCGACTAATTAATGATATTTTCTTAAAAGTCGGATTGCATCTTTTTTAGGAGGAGAGGAACCGACAGTCCCCACAATCAAATAAGCGACATCAGTAGAATGGACGTTTACTCAAGTTTTTGGAACAAAACTAGAGGGAAGAACTGGACGAACAACAAGAAAATTCCTCCAGAGTTTACAGTATATGAAAGTCGAGAAGAAGAACCCACGTTAGCCGGAACCCACGCTTTGCCGCAATGTTAATGGGTTTTTCGTCACAATGTGAAGCTGACTGGTTCTTGTTCTCATTAAGTGTAAAGTTAAAGACAAAAGAACCGATTTCACTGCACTGGATTTATCCCATATGGCCCAGTCTCTCTCCCCAGAACGACTAGCCGCCTAGTGACAGCGTCACGCGAAGCCTGACCTCTGTCTTTCTGGCAACAACCCCCCACGGATTTCTGTAAAATCTGCACTCTTAGTAAACTGAAGGTCACAGCTGTAAAACGAAAATGAACCCTGTGCTAAGCTGTAACTGTCCACATGTCCAGCTAGCATGGAACATACCCCATTGTTCCAACTAGTTTGACCACTGGCTATCCTACCATTCCGATGCCACAGCCAAGGGCACATGTGTCATTAATTAGCAATCTATACGTGTGGTCCCACCGGAGTGTTGTCTGATAGCAATCACACCAAAAGACGGATGGACACTGCCGGCCCTGAGATATTTCCACTTGGCTGGACACAAAGGTGATGCAAAACATGAGGTCGCCGCATGTGGTCAAAAGGAGCTGTCAGACCAGGAGATCGTGAAGTGTTTACCGAATGGGGGACGGCCACTTCATTAATGCATTGTGATACGTCGAGAGCAATCACGGGGGAAATTAAAGGGAGGGAGGGTTCTAAATTAAAATATCCACGCAATAGTCGCAAAGAAAGTCTCCGGCCAAGGGATCAATCAAAGAAAAAAAAAAAGAAATCAACACTAGCGGATGAATGTGTATGTATGTATGTATGTATGTATGTATGTATGTATGTATGTATGTATGTATGTATGTATGTATGTATGTATGTATGTATGTATGTATGTATGTATGTATGTATGTATGTATGTATGTATCTGTGGAGTCCTTCCTAATACTCACCACGGAGTGCTAGATGGATTAATTCCGCTAAAGCCACATTAGGGCAAGGGGGGATATTTAAGTTACGTTTTATGTCCCACTGTATATACCTCCTGTCACTTGTTGCCATTTGTTCTTTGTGTCTGGCTACAAACGATCTGTCTGTTAGTCCCACCCTCCATTTTTTCCATTTTGTTCTAATAGTATTGTAATTGGGATTGGACCAAGTACCACGGAATGACGAAGAAAGTTTGCAAGGCCTAATCCCCTGACGTCGACAAGTAAGGTAAAGGAGCGTTTCAATGCCTTAACTCCCCGTGTGGGTTCTGGGGCCCATTGTGAATAGACCCACTACCTGGAGAGGGGGGGGGGGGGTTGCTTCTTTCGAAGTCGGAAGTCTGCCCGAGAAGCAAGGAACCAACAATCTACACACAAATAAATCAGATATGGGAAACGGTTGTGCACGCAACACTCAGGTAAGCTCTAGAGGAAAGTTTGGGTTTCTCGTCCACCTCTGTACTTGGTCTTTCCCAGACGTTTTACAGATCTGAGTCATGTATACGCAGTCTGTTGGTTCCTTTCCTCTCAAGCAGACGCATTCCGACTTTAAAGGAAACTCCCAGTTAGTCGACTCCTACGACACTTTTTTGGGCAGGCAGTGGATCTACTCTTGTCCCCCCCCCCTCTCCCCCGCAATAGGACACTGGAACCCACATGGGTATGAACAGAGCTTTTTTTTTTTTCAGAAACCACGAGCTATCAACCCTGTGTATGGATATTGCAACCCATCGGGTCTTGATTTTATGGCAGATGACAGATACCGTAAATCTGGGAAATATGTGACTTTTTTGTATACCCCCGAGCGTGAACTCGGACCATAAGAAATTGTGTTACCCGGTCGCCGTGCAGCTGGTTTAACTAACTTAGCTAGAGCACACAATCGTCATTATTTTTTTTAAATTTCAAACTGAAAAAAAAAAAAAAAATTATGAACAGCTGTCTGTCAAATAGTTTTAGGTTTAGAAAGAATAGCAATAAACGGCATTACCTCTGAAAGAGACCAGAGTTGGCCACGGCGTTGGCGGGAGCAGGACAATAAAGACAGATCTTTTTGTCCCTAGGTATGGAAATAAATGCGGCAGAAGATCACACGACATATCAAGGCTGTCTCTAGTGGGTTGTGGTTCAAATCTACAAAATTAAACTAAGGGCCCTCTTTTCACGCCTTCAGGCACATAGGGCTGGACCTATATTTTATAGACCAGTCGGCACTTGATGGATGATGTGGTCAGCATCACACCGGCCACCTTTACATCCCATGACTATACCAGTACGTATTTACAGCTGGATCGAACCCAGGAGTCAAAATCACTACTGGTCAACGTATCTGTGTTCTTTAAAAACATATGTGTGAGTAATGTGAGAATTTGATTCGCTACATGAAAGAAACGTTTGCTAAACAAAACGCAACAAATGAATTAAATTAAAGCACAGTATCTGAACCCACGACCTTCCGACCCGCAGGCAAGCGTCTGGCCGCTACACCATGGCGGCTCCCCTAATACAGGATAATGTTGGAGTAAAATTCTTTCAAAATGAAATACAGAAGACAATTTCGACTGTAAGCCTTTCTGTCTCAAGCAGTACACCATGTGTGATCAGCTACTGGCCAAATATTTTCAAGCTTGGAACCCGTCTTAGCATTGTATTCTCAATATCTGCAGGACTGCAAGGTTATCACAATCGACGTCACTGCATATTGGGCATTTGCATGCGTGTTCAATCCTCCGATGCAGCAAACACTCCAAGTTACTTCTAATTGTTCCCATGAGAAGGTAGTTATAATGTCTCCTCTCTCGGTTTTAAAGGCGGCCTAGACGTTCTTCACCATGCTTTACTGTCATGTCACGTAATCGTGTTAGTATCAGAGAGTCATCATTATTCACTAGCCAGTCTGTACATTTTTGATGATATCTGTTCTGTCCATAATTCGATATCTGTTTTGTCC